ACAAAAAGAATGTGGGAGTGCATCAATTACAATCGACTCTGTTACGGAAATTTCTCTGTATCTTCCTACATGTCTTTCATTCTAAAATCTCCAAGTTAAATAAGTCTATAAATTCAAGCCCTTTAATACATATAAGACTTCACAAAAAAAAATCTAGAAACAAGTTTCTTAAAGTTGATGCGGCTGCTCATGAGGCATTGCAAATATTTCAAATAGACAAACATCCAAGCCATATGGGCATTGGCAGAGCAAAAGAAGGGTAAATGCTTAAACAACTCTTGATGTTTTTGTTGATTACAAATGTTTGTTGATATTCTTGAACTGCAGGTTCTCTGTGTTTGGGATGATGAATAAGGTATGCAAAAGCCATTTGTTTTTCAATTCTGCAGCATCTTTTGGATTTGGAATAAATTAGTTGTGCTTATTTTAGTGTGTAACGCCAATGGGTAGACGTCTCTTGAGGTAAATTCAAATTGAGAAATTTACTGTTCTACTACTTCTAACCATTTTAACCCAAGACCCCTGGATGATGGTTTACTTTGCACTAGGAGCTGGTTCCTGAGGCCTGTACTAGATCTTGATGACCTTAATAGTCGTTTTAATGCTGTATCCTTTCATCCCCTCAAGATTACTTTAATGTTATCAGGACTAAATGACTAGTTTGAAATCCTAGAACATGACATAGTTAACCTGAAAGCATTGTAAGATGAGGTTTGGCTGAAATCAAGCCCTGAGCATGAAATTTAGAAATCCACATTTCTAACTATTCCATGAAAGGTGATTACATAACTAAACATGAACTAAGAAATGGATTCCCCTGCATTTGAATTCTGTATCCTCAGTCTACCTTGCCAAAAATTCATATACTTTAACAGAATGAAGATATCATTCTTCCTTTGTTCTGAAGAACTGTTGGCTTTTTACGGGAAACCCTGAAGTCGGCCAAGGATATCCCCTACATACTCAAGGTGCACTAATATCTCATCTATGCTTTTTCTTCTATCTATATCCTACATTTGTATTATTTCCAAAATAAAGAATTTAAACTTTCTTTTTCAATTAGTAACTGCAGACATGAATCAGTGGCTGGAAACTCAGCAATTTTTCACACTTTCAATATATTAACTATTTCTATATGATTTAAAGGTTTGCAAAAGTGCAAACCTTTAAATCAGTTTAATGACTTCACACAACCCCTTTTTTTGCTTTGCTGAAAAGAGTCATTTTTGAAATGGAGATTTTGCCTGAAATTTGTAGTTGTAGCACATTGCCACTAGTTATTTTGAACACTTCTTTTTATTATGTGGTTCAAAATGATGGGCACAAAAAAAATTTCTATTATGTTTCTTTTATGAATCTGTATTTAATCAAATTCTAAAATTTATGAATCTTTTGCTTTTGCTTCTGGAAGAAATTCAACTCCCCAAGTTCTGCATGTACAACTGGCGATTGGACAGCTTTTCTGAAGGTAAAATTCCCACTTTCATGGTATTTGTTCCGTGTACAGTTGTTACAATAATCCATTTTACACTTTCTCTTATAGAGCATCTGTTCACTCCTACATGTGAACAAGATATTTGAAGTTGGCATTTCTGGAAGTCTTCGAGAGCAAATGAAATATTTGAATTTGGACATTGTTCAAAAGGTATGAAAACTATTAGTTCAACTAATTCTTTCTAAATTTGTGTGACATATACTCACAATCTCTTGTTCATGTGTTTAAATTTGTCACAGGCTGGATCATGCATTTCAACAGACTTGGCTTATGTACATGAATTGGTTAGTTTATCCACAGACCTTAATATTTCATTAGGCTACTTTGTATGTACTTTGCTAAGATTCCACAAAGTTCCGAGATCAGGAAGTTCTGTCCTTCAATCTGGGGTTAGCCAATGACTTCAATAAGATGCCTGAAAATGTATCCCGCTCCGCTCTACTGGCCGCACACCTTCACGTGTGCTCAAAGTTCTGTTTGTGTCTGTCTAAAGGACTTTTAGACTAGTAACATTAGAACTCTTGCTTGAAACTAAACTTTTGATATTTTATCCCTAATTATTTGTGAGAGCCTTATTCAAAGCTGTATGCTCGTTTAAAAGAAAAGGGGAAAAAAAAAAAAGCGCAAAAGAGAGGAAATTATTGTATTGGAGAAACTTGTAGATTGAGAACAATATATATATTTTTTTATTATTCTAGAACAAGGTCTGAAAATGACGAAATAAGGCTTGGTTGCCAGTGTAACCAATGACTATGTTGTTGATTTGGTTAAAATCTTTTCTTAACTTTCTTTTGTTCTGATGTAAACTAGTGGAGTGGCTAAGACAAACAAAAAGGGATGAATATTAGATGAAGCTAAATGATACATAAAGCCTTATATTTGTTATCTACATCTTGCCCTCCCCAGGCCCCACTTTAGCGGGGGCCTTGTGCACTGGGTCACCCTTTCTTATTTATTTTCTACATCTCTGTCACTTGTTTCAGCCTCCCAACCTTCCTTTCCTTTTTTCTGCCAAGATGTTAAACCTAACATCCCCACTCCACATCCCTTGCCCAAGTGGGAATCATTTAGTTGAAGCCATTGTTGCTGTTTTTTTTGCAATGCAAGAATTACAGGTGACCTTGCAAGTGCAGTTGAAAAGGGCTTTCAATGTGAAGTATTGCATTTCTGTAATCATTGATTCATTGATTTTATTAATCTCTTTGTTTTTTACTAGTTTCTTCTTTATTCATTTTTCTTTAATTGTCTACTTGCTTCTTTCTTTATTACGTTTTGAGTAATTTTCTTGTGTGCGTGTTTGTGTTGTGTTGTGTTGTGTAGGTGATTGGTGTTATTGATGCAAGTAGAAGTAAAGACAAGGGTTATAGGACAATAGTGAAAGAAGGGTTCTGTGATGAGGTAATACACCATTCCTATTGGTGATCTTATATCTTATTTCATAAAATTAAAGCCTTTAGGCATTATCTATAGTACTGTATTCTCTTATTTATTGCAATTATATCATAAGGAAAAAAAATTAACAGATATAAATTTGAACAAATAGAAAATAATTTGAACATATAAATATAAATTTAAATAGATAGATATAAATTTGAACATATAATCAAAAAAAGAAAGTCAACAGATAAAAAAAGTCAATAGTTTAAACCAATGGATAAAATTAGAAACATCATTTGGGAAGGATTTTTTTTGTTTTTTTTCATTAAAAGACAAATTGATTACAAAACCAAAAAGAGCAAATCTAAACAAACCCCATAATCATTTCACTTTTTCTCTCACAAACATCACATTCAACAAAAAAAAATCTAACAATTTTTTATAACAGAAAAAAAAATTTCTCCAATAATATCCTACAACTAAAAAAAACTACAAAAAAACCCACTTCTCAAACACCCACAAAATGTTCTTCCAAATCAATAAAATGACTCATCACCAAACTATTTTACAAAGTGTAGATCTCTCACTAATATAAAATATCCACTGGATCTAATATCTTATTCCCTCTTTAGATTGGACTTTTCAACAATTTTCTTTTATTAAAAATTATTAATTGACTTCAAAATTTTTTAATAAAAGAAGTCATTTGTTATGCGATTAGAAACTTGAAAAGGTATGATATAAATTTCAGAACTATAAGGGTCAATTTATATTTTGAGCAAACCTCAAGGGATGTATTTGTAACTTACTCTATTTTTTTTTGATAAATTGTAATTTTGACATAATTACATTAAACTCTTTTAAAATTTTAATTTATGTAATATTTGGTTCATTTTTATCAATAATGTGTTAGTTATATTGATAAAAAAAATGATATTATCATATCTTTTATATAAAAATGTATATTTTACATTATTTATTTTTGTATTTTCATTTTATTTGCATTAGTTTCGGTCTATATAAGTATACTACAAGTGAAGTTGACATAATTATGTTAAAAATATAAAATTTGTTGTATTCTTTCAGACCTCATAAAAGATCAGTGTAATTTACCCAATTAATTGATGATGTGAACAAATAGTATTCGAAAGCAAATTGTAATAAGATTATAAAAGTCAAGGCAAAAAATATATTTTCCAAAACGTGCAGGAGATATATGTATTAAAATCAAAACTCAAGAGATGCAGGTATAATTTATTTAGTTTTATACCAATATAATTAATGAATTATAGATTGAAATAGAGTTAAGTGAATTTAAATTTTTATAATATTTATAAACTTAATGTAAACTTATAATCTAAATCATAAAAAAGATTGGGGAAATTACATATTAGTGGACAAAAAATTATTTATAAAACAATCATAATTTTTTTTAAAACTTTTTTGTAAATATTTTTTTGTCTTCCCATTTATGTGTAATTCCCCCAAAAAATTAGTCTAACTTATCTTATTCTAAAAATTCCTCATTTGACAACTTGAAATTATAGTTAAAAAGTAAAAAAATCAATATAAGTTATCACATCACTTTATTTATTTTTCTACATATCTTTTCGTAAAAAATTAAAAGTTTATAAAATAGCATGTTCGTTAGTATTTATAATTCTAATTTGATAATTTTGTATAAATTAGAGATTAAAATTAATAAGTCTGGGACGCTTGTCAATTTTTTTAAGATCTCAGATAGATATTTTCTTTTAAATTGAAGATTAAAGTTAATAATTTTAGGATATTTGTTAAATTTTTAAGGAATAGAAGTAGGTAAAATTAATAAAAATTTAAACAAAATGATGAAAATTAAAACTATGAAAATTTACCTATAGATCTCATATTGAATAATGGTGATCCGATTAGTCTCAAGAGTTTTCCTATAAACCAATTAGCCCCATTGATTTTAGAAATGTGGATTTAATATATTATTTAAAAATTAAATTTGTTAGGTTTTCATGTCTTCTTTTTTTTTAATTTTTTTTATGATATATATTTTCACACTATATTTTTTCACTTTTCAAAAAAAAAAAAAAAAAAAAAGGAATAGGAAAATTCCTCACTGTATTTTTTCATGTTGTCACCCAGCTTTTTATCACTGGCATTGGTTGCTCGTCAAAACAATTATGTGAGGCCAACTTTGACTACAGAAGACTTGCTTGATATACAGAATGGAAGGTTAGGTTGTCTAGTACAGTCTACAATATGTCAATGATTTTATTTGCAAGGTCATATTATAATCGATTAGAGAAAAAATTGGGCATCCACCAAGGGAATCCTAACAAGTAGTTAATTGAGACATGTTTTCCAGGAAATGACTGTAGATACTTTCATTCCCAATGATACTAAGATTCAAGATGATGGTATTTGTAGTTAAACATCTCTAAGTTTCTTGGTTTCTTACTCCACTCATCAATAAAGTCTTTTCTCATTCAAATATACTAGTTATTCTTGTTAAACTCTTCAGGAAGGATTAATATCATCACTGGCCCTAATTATTTAGGGAAAAGTATCTACATAAAGCAGGTCAATAGTTATTATATTTCTCTTGATGGAACCAACATGCTCTCCTTCACTTTCTTTTTCTCTCTCTCTCCTTTGAATGATTCACCCACATTTATCAGTAGATATATGTCATATGTTTGAGTCTTCATGTAAGTGTCTAATTTGCAATCCTATAAGTTAGAATGTAAAATGAAGGAATTTAGGATTGGGATTTAGGAGGAGGAAGAAGAAGAAGAAGAAGAAGAAGAAGAAGAAAGAGAAATTTTATATATATTGAATAATCATTGTGCCTCAACTTTATATCAGTCAAATGTATACACAAACCCTAACATAGCAATATGACCATCGTACCCTCAACTTAAGTAAATATTAACAAGAAAACAAAAGAACAAAAATAAGTATTCTAACACTCCCCCTCAAGCTAGAGCATAGAGATCGAACATGGCCAGCTTGATGGATAAACGATGAAACGAAGGCCGAGCCAAAGACTTGGTTAGAATATCACCTAATTGATCGGCAGAACGAACATAAGGAGTCATAAGTTACTTGCGGAGTAAGAGATCACGAATAAAATGGCAATCAACTTCGATATGTTTGGTGCGTTCATGAAACACGGGATTATTGGCAATAAAGATAGCAGCTTGATTGTCACAAGACATGCTCATAGGAATGGGAACAGAAAAGCCAAAATCTTGGAGAAGAGACTGAACTCAAAGCATCTCAGAAGCAGTATGGGCTATGGCACGATACTTAGCCTCGACACTAGAACAAGAAACAACAGTCTGTTTCTTGCTACGCCAAGTAACAAGATGTAGACGTGCTCGAGGACTCCTGAGCTCCGCGCTGCGAAGGCGCGAAATTCGTTTGCTCTCTAGCTACTACAAGTTCGGACTCGCGTCACGGTTCTGAATCTAGTCTCACAATGTGCGATATGAGACCGATAAATCACCAAAGAGTTTAGATCCGGCAAATCGTTTTGGAAAACTGATTTTAATAAAGAAGTGCCAAACATGGACTGCTTTTCCAGATACAGAGTCGCTACCTAAATGTTTTATTTTGGAAAATTTAGGAAATCCTGACTCGTGCCTAAGACCACGTGTCCGTCATCACCAAAGTTGTCTCGGTTCGGGAACTTGGGTACGAGAGGGGAAGGTCATGCAATGAGCACCCCCGCTTGCCCGATCAAAGATCAGCCTTTACTAACATGATATCTTGTTTTTGAAAATACATGTGTTCTTATTCCGGTTATTAACCTAGAATTACTATGTGATGCGCACAATATATAAGCATAGACTAGATCGCCTAAGTTGGAACAAAACATTGCATGTTCGTTTGTTTGAAAATGGGTTTGAAGTTTGCTACTCACAAGTAGGCTAAATCACGGATTTCGATGAATTGTTCCAATTCAAGTAATCCAACATTCACCCACAGGCATTCAGACAGTTATATCAAATAAGCAGTTAGCCTCATGGCAAGCATGCTTTCATGGCAACATTAGCACACATGCAGTATGTTAAAGCGTAAACACTCACAGTATACTCCGAGCCAAAACAAAGAATTAGTTCGAAATCATGCATGATCCTAGTTCATGTTAAGATGGTTAATGCAACACATGCGACATGCAACTAGAAATAGGCTCGGCTATTCTAAGATAGCATATGAAATGCAACTTGGTACATGTATTCAAGTAGGAATTGAAATACAATGTAGTTAGTATGATGCGCTGAGCCTGGTGCATGCAAAACAGATGAATGATGCATGCATGCAAAGCATAAGGATGCTAATCGAAATATGTCCTAAAACTAACCATCGTAAGCGGTTAAGTAAAAGGGAGAAAGAAATGGGGGTTAGAAGACATGCATCACACACACGCACGCTTATTACAACAATACGCCCTCTCGACGGAGGGACCGAATAAGAAGCTAACTAGTTAATCTAAGCTAATTAAACTAATTATTACACAACTAATCCTAGTTAACTAATTATTACAAAATGAATTGAAATAGCTAAACGCATTAACTATTAAAGGTACAGAAGCTAAGTAAAGCAATAAAACAGGAGGTTCTCAGAGGGAGAAGACTGGATGCATGCTCGGTCGCTTTGTTCGGAAATCCGTCGCGATGCCCCAAGTTTCCTCTGTTTGCAATTATTTTTAGAACCTTGCACAAAGCTCCAGAAAGCTTGAACTCCATCCAGGAGACCTCTAGGGATGCTGCCGACCAGTTACTAGGGAGGGAGGCCACCTGCCGACCACTTTCTGTGCTGAAAAACCAGAAAAAGTGGTCGGCCAACTAGTAATACTGGTCGGCCGACCAGTTGTTGCTGTTGAATTCCAGTTTGCTGCAACAGAGAGCAAGAAAGGGCATGGTAATGTGTTTGCAAGGTATGTGTGCACAACCACCTTCCCTATCATGTCATGAACTTAAGGGAGTGTGGTTCTCGACCCTCGGGCCACCAATCACGCATCTCGATGCTTGATGGCCGAGAAGTCCAATTGCACAATTCAATATGAAATGAATACACGAGTAAACACATAAGGCCTAAAACTCTATCATGCTTGATCAAGAGCGTCAGCGACCGAGAATTGAGGCACGTTTCATCACTTCAAGTATGAAATGTTCCTCGTTCCTCGAGTTTGGACTAACACCTATTCCAAACAACAATGCAAGCAACAAGTAACATGCGAACAATGCTAATGCATGCATGCACAATGCAATGCAACAAGGGCAACTTAGCAATGTTAGGGACATGCATACTCAATGCAACGAAACAACTTGGCATACACAATGCAAATAACCACATGGCATACACAATGCAAAGTATGATGGCATACTCAATGCAATGAACAATAAGCATGCAAACAACATGTAAATAAACATGCTAAATGGACTTAAACTAAAATGGACAGACCTCAGCCATGCCCAAATCAGTGGTCATAATGCTAAAATGAAGGTACCGAAAACACATGCAAACATGCATGCCAATTAGCTCACCAATTAAGGCACTAAGGTGCAACTCTCAAGAGCACTTAAAGAGTGAAAATCATGGAAGTGTAATAACACTAAGTGCACTGAGATTAAGCAAGAAATAATGCCAAATCATTCAAACAACACAAGTTTGGCATGGCAGGGTCCTTAAAGCATGAAGCTATTAAAGAGGACTACAAAGGGAGGCATGCAATACAAGGCACAAATGCATGAACTAAGCATGGACAAAGTTCAAATAGGTCTTAACAAAGACCAAAATATGCTGAGATGAAGACTCAAAGGCCTAGGCATGCAAGCATACACACTAAGCCATAAACTAGGCAACAATGCATAACACTTAAAGGCACTTAAAGCATGAATGAAGTGGGAATATGGCAATGGCACATGCTCTGAAATCAAGTATTAAATGATGCCAAATCATCCAAATAGCTCAAAGATAACATGCATGAGGCATCAAAACACAAAGCTAGAAAGGCCAATTGCACTACAGCTATACAAAGCAAGAAACATATGGTCGAGGCAACCCAAAATGGTCTTAGAGCATGTCAAAATGAGTTTAAAACATGTATGGAAGGAAGCCAAAATAAGCTAGCATGGAAAGCATGAGGCATGATGCATACAAGGCAAATAAGGTGGATTACATTACACCTATTAAGACCAAGCGTGGGATGACTCAACTAATAAAAATCAGAGTTATGTCATGGCAAAATAACCCCAAAAACACACTGAAATGATAGCTCGCAAGCTTAGGCATGAAGGCATACACAACGACCCATGTTAAGGCATAAAGGACCAACCATCCAACGCATTGAATAAGTGACAAATGTAAGTGTATGACCACACTACATGGACTGAAATAACATAACGAAAGATGCCAAATCATTGAAATAGACCAAGTAATGCATGCTAGTGGACTTGATACACAAAGCTAACAAGCTAGAATGCATTATAGCTATACAAAGCATGGCATGCATGACCAAGATAACATAAATCAGACCTTAAACATGCTAAAACATGAACAAAGTCTTCTTGAAGTTAAGCCAAAAGCATGCTAAAATGACATGTTAAAGCATGAGACACATTAGGCTACTTCATGGAAATGCACTACAAGTGCATGGAGCATGCATAGGGCTATTAAACCAAACCTTGACAGAGGTATATCATGGTAAAACAACACCAAGAACATATTGAAATGGATTCAAAATAAGCTAGAATGACATGCTACTTCATGAAGCATACAAGACTAGTTTGTAAGATTTACACTACAAGTGTATTATGCATGCAAGGGATGATCAAGACAACCAAAAATAGTGGCATGCCATCTCAAAATAACCCCGAATACATGCTAAGAACAAGCCAACACAAGCTTAATAAACATGCTCAAACATGAGGCATATATGGCAAGTATACAAGACACAAGGAGAGGGGATGACCCTCTCCTATTTGGGACTCCAAAACCACCTTTCCAGTGGTAGAAAGGTCATGCAAAGGCTACAACAAAAGCCAAAAGCCAAAAGGGATGGCTCAAAATAAGGCCTAACAAGGCCTAAGAGGGGGTAGATCACCCCCAACGAAAAAGTGACCTTAAACAAACATTTTAAGCATGCAAAAACAGAAATTTTTCCAGTAGAAAGTTAAGCTTAAATCAACATGCAAGTAGGGCTAAAAGCTTAAGCAAAAATGGGGGATTTAAAGGTTAGAAACTCACCCTTGAAGACCTCCTTCAAAGCTGCAACTCCAGCAGCTTCTTTGAGCTCAAACCAGTCTAAGAACTCCAAAAACAACTTCAAGGGACCTCAGCTCCAAGAGTATGGTGTTTGAGTGTGTGTTTGTGTACAAAAGTGAGACAAAATGACACTTTAAGGCACAAAACAAGAGCAAAAGAGAGATATAGATACAAATGTGTATGTATAACTCAAACCACCAATTTCTGAACCTAAAGGAGAGAGGAGGGGGTTCTCTCTTATAGAGAACCAAAAGCAAAGCTTCTTGAAGAAGCTAAGGTTCAAGGCCATCCCTCTATACACGTGTATGGA